AATTCTGATTCATAGGCCTGGAATGGGCAGAGATGCTGGAGTCTAACAAGCTCCCAAGGGATGCTGCTGCTACTGCTGGTCAGTGAGCAGCAAGGGGCCAAAAACCACTGTTTGTTTAAACTGAATAGTTTCGGGGCTGGCCCATGGCTCACTCGGGAGAGTGGGTGCTGATAACACCAAGGCTATGAGTTCGGATTCCTATACAGGGATGGCCGGGTAGCTCACTTGGGAGTACGTGGTGCTGACAACACCAAGTCAAGGTTTAAGATCCCCTGGTCGGTCATCTTTAAAAAAATAAATAAATAGGGCCAGCCCCGTGGTGCACTTGGGAGAGTGTGACACTGGGAGCGCAGCGATGCTCCCGCCACGGGTTCAGATCCTATATAGGACTGGCCGGTGCGCTCACTGGCTGAGCGCGGTGTGGGCGACACCATACCAAGGGTTCTGATCCCCTTACCGGTCACGAAAAAAATAAAAATAAAAAAAAATAAACTGAATAGTTTGTGCTTTTCTAGTGGCAGTGGCAGTGGGGCAATGTGTACGTTAGGGTTGTTTACATGTTAATTAGTAGAATGCTCTTGAAAAGAAAAGCCTTAATAAATTAAGGTCTGATAAATTCAAGCATTTTCTACAAATGCTTTTAAAAAATAAAGAAGCTTGGTACTTAGTGTTAGCAAATTGAGTTTAGCAAATGTAATAGCCTTGCACAGCTTGTAACTTTAATGATGAGTCCAGCTTTCTAATGTAACTCATGAATTGTATTAAAAAACTAAACTAAACCAAACCATGGATTTCTTTGATGGGATTGATTCAATAGCATGTGTTTAGAATTTAGAATGTAGAATTTTCAGGTGAATTATTAGTGTTGAATGCTAGTGGTTAATAGAGCACATACAGTAAACTTGAAGAGAATTCAGTAAAATGGTAAAGCATACTATGTGGACAGAGATTGTTTAACATTTTTTACATTGACACTCTAAGTGCTTAGACTAGAAAACAAATGCATAGTAGGTTTTCAACAATTATTTGTTTTTTAATGAATTGATGGTTATCAATTGGAATTAAATGTCTTATTAGGATGGGACTGGTCTTCCTGAACTTGGTTATTATTTTGTCCAATAAAACTGAATTTCCATTCAAGATCGATGAATTTATAATATGCCTTAAACTATAATGGAATCTACATAAACACATATATACTAAAGCATAGTACATATTGATGTATGTAGTCGGAGAAGGAAAAATCTTATATGGCATGTTAGAATCAAGTGATACATATAATCAAAATTTGATTATATTAGGTAATTCATTTAGTCTTAAGTATTATTTTATTCCCAAAAGACAGAGAACACAGTAAGTTAATGAAAATATAATGATTTACATCTTTAAATATCTTCTCATTGACAAATATGTACAAATAAATATTAAAATATTTTGAATATAAAAGTAACTAAATATCTTCCCTTTGCCATGGTCCTTCTTCCCCTACAATACAGACACAAAAACCCCAATAACTTTCTAGAATCCCAACCCCACTACCCTGCTTTGAGTTTCCCAGTTGAGATCGTATATAATAGAATAAAATTTTCCAAAGAAACCCTACTTTTACATTGTTTTTCTATCTGATGAAATGTTTGATAACAATTATCCCATGAAAATGTGTGTGGAAGATCATAGAGATCTATCTAAAACTACTCTCGACCAAATAATAATTTGCTTCAGTCATCATCATAGCAGATTTTGTGATGGTAAAGTAAATACATAAAACTTCCCAAATTCTTGTAATTGCCATTTTTAAATACTCCTTTGGCCAGAATTGTCTTACTTTTTGAAAAATATTTGAAGGCTATTTTTCAATCTAGGTTGCGCTTAGACTGGCTAAATTGTACTCCATTTGTAATTAGTGGATATTCGTTGTTAGTGGATATTAGAGAAGGGTCAGCAGCCTCTCTAATTGCTGGCTTATAATTGGTAGATGGTTACCATGTTCTTTGGGAAAAAAATAAACAAGTTTCTTGGGGGATGGGGACCCTAGTAGTAATAGGCTTTTCATGAATTGTGATGTCTCCCAATACCCAGTTTAGTCTTGATTGAGAAAACTGGATCCAGGTTTAAGAAAAGTAAAATTGATCGAATCTCTGTTTTAACTTGCTTATTGAGAAGGGATTCTTGTCCCTCTGTGTTTTGTGTTGGGTTCTGCCACTTGGTCTGAATATGAATAACTGTCAGTTTTCTTCTTATCCTTCACAGTATTCTTGTGCTTCTATGATGTATGTGGAATTCTATTCATTTTAACATGGCTTCTTTCTGAGATTTGGAGGCCTAATGTACAACACCCCTAACACCCAAATGCCCCTGCTGGTGTACTCTTTACTACCATCCTTAAACATATCCTCATCTCCCCATGCCAACGTGGGAGTCCCTGCATTCTCAGGTGATCATGAGCCAGCTGTTTGAGTCTGGTCTTTTCAATGGTTACCACTTTATAGAGTTGGTTAATATCCATTCTCACTATGCAATAAGACAGAACCAAGATCTAAACATCTTAGTCAGTGTATAGGCCATGAGAGACAGAGAGAATAGAGTGAGAGAGAGATCTTTCTAAAGTATAGAGTTCTCCATTGAACTGTAAAAAACATCTTTTCAAAGAACAAGGGTTATATGTGGTAGGTAGGTTCTTAAATTGACTACAAAAATTGCAGAGTGGAGAAGCAGCCTGAGGCCCACACCAGATGCAGCTGTCTAGCAGATAGCAATCTAAAAAATAAAAAATTGAAATGCAAACAAACAAAAAAAGTTGCAGAGTGATGGCTAAGGGAAGAGCATGGACTTTAGAGTAAAGAGGAGGGAAATCATTTCAAATACTGACTGTGCCACTCATTCGCTCTGTGGTTTTCAAAAATTGTCCCCTCAGTTTCCTTATCTGTAAAATGAGGATAATCTGATAGACCAATATTCTGATAATAACTATCTGACATACTAAAAATACTGATATAATGATATCATAGGGATTAGCTCATGAATGCTTTATCATGAATAAATTCAAGATATATTAATTTGTTATGCAGTATAGAAAACAAATACATGCAAGTCAGACAGGTTATATAAATTGGTTTACCTTTACTCTTCATTGTTTATTACAATAAAATGGAAAGAACTGACATTGGTAATAATTGAATATTGGTTAAATAAGCTATAGTATATACAGGGCAACTGCTATGTGTCAGCACTGTTCTATGTACTGAGGATATGGCTGTGGAGAAAGAATCCTTGTTTTCTTAGAGCTTAAAACCTAGAGTGGGGGGAATTAATTTAAATAGTGACTTGAATTGTGCAGTTTGGTGGTGGAGATGGTATAAAAATCTTGGAATTAATTATTTGTATCTGATAGCTGTCTGTTATTAGATGCTTACTATCTAAGCATTTATTATGAGCTAGGTGTACATTAATCCTTTCACGAGAACCACCACCCTGTTGAGGTAAATATTTATTCTATTTTCAGATGAGGAAACTGAAGCTTAGAAAGAGGATCAGTAACTTCTCCAAGTCTACACAGCTAGTAAGTGATAGATTTAAATTAAGTCCATTTGCTCCAAAGTTATTTCAAGCTTTAAAATAATCGTCTCAAATAAAATATTAAGCCTATGATTTTTCACAATATTTTCTCCCTAATCATTTTGTACTTGTCTGAAATCTTATGAAAAAGTCGGGTTATTGTCCGGGTTTTGACTGCCCAACTCAGTGTCATTGATGGTGCCACCTAAGTTCTCTGGACCTCAGTCTCGTTGGTTGAATGAGAGGGACCACGCGACCACCAAGCCCTTTCTAACCGTCAACAACTAGGATCTCTACACTTTGTGGATTCAGTCTTTGAGTCTAGCTCACTTATTCGCTTTCCTAAATATAATGCCTTCTATTTGGAGCAAATATATGTATACTTTTATTACTAGGAATAGATCACTTACCTCTTATGTAAGCTGAGCGCATAGGTTGTAATTGTTAACTACTTATTGCATTTCTTGTATACCAGGAAGAATACTAAGTGCTCTACATAGATGATTCACATCTGCTTCTCACAACAGCTTTACAAGGTGGACTTTAAAGATCTTATTTTATAGAGAAGGAAGCCAAGGCTCAGAAGGTTTTGACTCATCCAAGGTCAAATAGGTAGAGTGGCAGAGACTGTTTGACAACAAAGCCCTTGTATGTTTAATGAAACATTAAGGAAGCAGTATATATTATCTAATTCCGCTTTAGGCCCAAGGATCATGAACATTGTTTTTTCAACCCCAGGGGTCTTTTTTGGTTTTGTTTTTCTAATTTTTTGTAGGATATCATTCACCCTTGTCTTTGATTTTACTATCTGCTTACTTCTGCCTGATTAACCAACCAATGGGAAAAGTAGAGTGGGGGAGGTTACTGTTTTTACGTTAATTGCCTCTCAAGAGTCTAAATTTACAGACAAGAGCAGCAAAAGGACCCCCCGGCTTTGTGCCTCTGCGGTCTTCTGCGGACCTCTTTCCCGGTCCGTCCTCCTTTCCGGGAATCCGCGTTCTTGCGCGGAACTACGTTTCCCAGCGTGCCGCGCGGCCGAGAGCGCGTACTCGATCAGCCTTTCCTTCCTCCTCGCCTATCATGAGGTCGCCGTGTGATGATGCAAGCGCGTCGGGCGCTGACGAGTGACGCCATTCTGGCTCGCGACCGCGGCGGCGGCCTTCGCCGCGGCAATAGGCTCAACAGCGGCGGCGACTGCAGGGAGGACGACGACGGCGGGGCGCGCGCTGTGCGCAGAGGGGAGGGGTAGGCGGGCGGCGCCGGCGGCTTCAACTGCGGCAGCGACGGCTGGGGCGACGGAAGAAGAACCCCCACGAACCGCCGGTCGAGTTAGGCCTCAGCAGCGCCCGGAGCCACTAGCACCGTCCTCTGCGGGAGATCTCCTTAGAGACCGTGACATACACAGAGGCGGGGGTCCGCGGGAGGCTGCCGGACCGTAGCCAGCTTCTCGGCCTCTGCCGCCGCCACCCCTCTCCCCACTGCCGCAAGCACCCTCTCTCCGTTTCTGCTCGCAACCTCGCGGTTCCTGCTGTGCCCGTGCTCCACTGTGTGGGCACCGCGGACGGATTTTTGGGCCAAGGCCGGGCGGGGGGGGCTCTACGGCCGCTGCCTCTGCCTCTCCCGCCCCCTTACCCGCCCCGGAGCGGGAAGCAGCGGAGGCTCCGCCATGGCCTCGGGAGCTGGAGATATAGGAGGGGGCGGTGGCGGCAAGATCCGGACGCGGCGTTGCCACCAGGGGCCAATTAAGCCTTACCAGCAGGGGCGACGACAGCACCAGGTACGGGACCCCGACGCCGTGGTGGCCTAGTGGGTCGGGAATTCCGCAGGAGGGAACAGGCGGTTCGAGGCCCCGGCGCCCCACGTGGAGCCAACGGGAGGACGGAGGAAAGGCCCGAGTGAGGCGGCGGGAGCTCAGGCCGCTGGGGTGGCGACGGGAAGTGGGCTGAGACAGGCCCAGCCTCGCGGCGCACATGTGTGGTTTGGGCCGCGTCTCCCCAAACCTCTGGGCCAGGGGCTTTCCCGGGCAGGCGCAGGGCGGGAAAAGAAATTCTGGGCCTGTGATGCGCGCATTTCTTTCTTTTTTGGCGGGGATGGAGGGTTTGAGAGTATTACTCACATCCTCACGAGGGAGAAAGGAAAAGAAAGGCCCCGATGCTCGCTGTTTTCCTGTGTCTGCGTTTCAGTTTGTGTGGGTAGGAGGTTGCCAGGAGTAATCTGCCTCCGGGGCAAATGGGGAGTTGGAGGGGGCCTCTGTTACACGGTAAGCGGAATAACTTAGTCTCAGCCTATTAATTTTCGGTCTCTCCCCGATCTGAGAGCACTGGCTTAGACGCTTTTTTATTTTTTATTTTTTTATCTTTCAGCCGGCTATAGTTACCGTGGCACTGGGGCATTTTGAAAGTCCCTCTCCACCCTTACGTCTCTTCTCCGCTGCGCGACTCTTCCCTCCCCTCACCCCCTGTCCCCCCCCCCCC